AGAAAGAAAACTTTTAAAAGCTAAAAGGTACAAGGCAGAGGAAGAAAAAAAATGGGAACAGGGACAGAAAAATAGATAAAAGTAGACACAGAAAAGCAATTTTAAAAATAAGAGGAGAATGAATCTGTAGCAAAGCTTTGAGAAACCTCACAATGAAGGAAGGGTCAGACAGGCTGCAGAATTGAGAGGAACCTCACAGACTCCATAAACAACATTGTCCCTTCAATTCTATGCTAATAAGACACTTAGAAATATTCCACAATGGCAACTGTAGAATTATCTTGTCTACTATCACTCATTTTTAAACAAGGTTCCTTTGGTTTCCATGCAAATGCACTGACTGATGCCTTTTATTTAATTTCCATTTCATTTCACTTCATTTCATTTCTTTCATTTCATTTCATAGATTTCTCCATTAGTCACAGGCTATTTACATAATGTGATGGAATTGGCACGTGTGGAGCTGCTCTCTGCAGAATTCACTTCACCCTCACACCTGGTAAGGAAAACCTGTTAATTCACGTAGGTGTCAGGGTTGTAACACTCCATGAATTAGTTCTTCCAGCCAGGAATGGCTACTAGACTCACAAGAAGCTCTGAAAGTTTGGGTTCCTTCTAAAGAGGATCTCTCACCCCCCTTGGCATCTCCATTTTTGGTTGGAGACTCCTGCAGAGTTTAATTGCTTGGACTCAGACCTGCAGTACAGAGGCACAGATCTCCCAGGGCACCCTGGCACTGCCCAGGGCACCCAAATCTCTCCTGTCCTCAGGAAGGGCCAACAGACTTGTCTACTAACAAGTTACAAAATTATTTGTTTTGGGAGGACACTTATTTGGGTGGTAGAGTTGTGTCAGATGAGTCCATGTGTTAATTCTACCTTGAAGCCACCTCAGGAATTACCATAATTAAAGCTACTAAAAGCCAACCCATTACTCTAGTCTGATCAAATTCCCTAATTTGGCCAGTGGAAGCTGTTCAGTCCCCATCAGATTATTGGGTTTGGGGGTGGGAGTTGTATTGGGGTTTTGTTTGCTTTTCAGATAAATGCAATCACATGTTGCATAAATCCTTACACGTGAGAAGTAAACCTAGGCAAAAGTCAAAAATCTTTGTGTAAATAGAAGAAAGGAGATCCCAGAACAGTTTCTCCAGAACTCCAATGCTTGGCAGACAGAGCCCCCAAAACCTGACCCACATTGAGGGCATAACCATCTTTTTGAAATGTTCTTTATCAACTAAAACCTGCTAAAACTTCACTTCCACTTAGGCATTCAAAGAAAACCACTGACATACTGCACTGAGTCGTTGGCTGAAGGAAGGGAAGTCCTGTGACTGACTGGGAACAAGATTCCTGGCTTCCCATTAAAGATGAACTTGAGACTCCTTTAAAAATTTACCCCAGAATTCGCATTGAATCCAAAAGCAAAATCTGAGTTGACTGGAAGGTCAACAAACACAGGGGGATAATTGCTGCTTGATGTTCCAGGAAACCCAAGCTCTGACACTAAATTTAAAAAGAAAGCCTTTGATGAATGATAACAAAAACTTTCTTTCTTCCCATCCCCATCATGCAAACAGACCAGACACAGACATACTGAGGGCATTATGCAAGAAAAACCCAACAATCATGGAAATCCAAGTATCATGTTAAACCTCACATCTTTATTCATTGAGATACACAAAAATCAACTATTTGAAGGGAAAAGTTGTTTTCTGGGTTTTTTTGTTAGCCTAATTTACTTTGGTGACTTATCAATTTACAGAGTTGATTAGCTTTTGCTTTGAGCTCTTGCCTCTTTCTGAAGAAAAATACAGCGTATTAAGATTTTAGGAGTACTCAAGCCATGTTAAAAGGCTGAGGTCAGTGTTAAAATATTTTCAGTGTGTTTCTGCATGGAGGGTATCTGCAGCAGCTGTACAAAAAGCATCTGAGAATAGCAGCAGCAAGTTATGAGCAAAAACAAATTCTGAACAAAGAAAAACTATGAACAGTCAAATTAATTTAATCAAGGGTTACTGTACATCTGCTGCTAAGAAATAATAGCTGCCTCTTGTTTTCTTGGAAAAGCTAAAAAAAGTCAGCTGCTAGTTTAACAATTAAGTAGAATTTTAAAATATGCAGAATGACTGAACTGTTAAGGATGTGAAGGGGCCTCTTGATATGATCTAATCTAACCCCTGTGCTCAGTTAGATAAAGTGCTTTTTTTCTGAAGTATAATCATAAATTCACATAATTAAAACTTCACCAGGAAGCTGCTCTGGGTGGGTGTAGCTGAACCACCACTGACCCCACCAGATGTTTGGTGCTGCTCTGGTTCAGGATCTCCCCACTCTGAAGAATTGGGGTTTTCCTCTGTCCCAGTTCATGTTGCCGACAAACTGGGAGCTGAATTCTCTCAGAAAAACCAAAATCTCTCAGTGGAGACCATTTCAGCTGCCAGCACGAAGGCAGAGGTGAGCAGAGATCAGTGTAAAAGGTCGACAGATATTCATGAAGAGGAGCTGCTGGTGGAGGAGGAATGAGCCTGGTGTGTCTGGGCAGATGTGCAAGCAAAAAATAATTTTGTTTTCCTTTTTTTTTTTTTTTCATGCAACAGACCAAAGCAGGGCTGAAATCAATAGAAATTTGTTTCCTTCCCACTTCATCTCTGGGACCCTGATGGCTTTGGAAGTTGATATTTCAATAGAGAAACAGACACCAGCAGAACCACCTTAGACAAGCAGAATCCAGAAATCCTGCAAATTACTGCCATCTGCATTTTATATTACATATATCTAGAGGATGCTTGTCAAGTTTGATCTCCATGAATATCTGTCAACCTTTTATACTGACTTCATTTGCTTTACCTGGAGAGCAATCAGCAGGTCCCCGAGGCAGGCATTACTCACATGCCACCTTCAACAATCAGATCAGCACCTGTTTGCTCCAAAAGCTGGAGCCTGGTGCTCAGCACTGAAATGAGATGTGAACACAGATCACAGCCTGGCCCCACCTCTAGCCCTGTCTTGGAAAGGGCCTTGCTCACCATATGGTGCTCCTGCTACCCCTCTGCTATTTCTAGCTCCCAACTCTATTGGAATTGTGATGGAAAGATTTAGAAATAAGGTTTTGGTGCCAAGATGTCTGCTCAGCACACCGTAAACCTTCTTGCAGGTAGTTGAATCAGCATTGTGCTATTACAGCACAGGTTCACACTACTCCCTGCTCTTCCTTTACCCAAGTCCTCAGACCTACTTTTACCCACTTTGCTTTCTCTCCTGCTCTTCTTGCAAACCTGTGTGTCTGGATTTAAATTGGCTTTGGCTCTGACATCATTTAACCAGATGGAAGGAAAACTAACTTATACTCTAAACCCAGGCAATGAAAAAATGAGTCCTTCACTCCTTGAACAGCTCATTCTGCCAGCACAGGCAGACCTGGCCACCCTGTGCCCCCCAGCCCATGCCCAGCCCTCTGGGCACAGCTTCCACATAAAGTCAGGTGGAAAACCAGGTACTGACAACTCCTTCTTATCAAAAGTTGCCCACACCCCAGTGCCAGCTTTAGGCAGCACAAAATATAAAATAACAGTTCCCCTACAAGCATCCATTTCTAGATAAATTGTTCTAAAGAATTTTTGGTAGACCAAACATTCCTCTCAAATCAAATGATTCAGGCTATATAAAACCCATTCTTTTAACCCTACTGTTCAGCATTTAGGGTAATCTCCCATCTAGTTTTAACATCTCAGCAGTCATCCTCCTGCAAAAATGAACACTTTGCAGTCCTAATCAAAAAGCCTTGAAAGGCTCCAGAATTCCCAGGGGGTGACAGAGGTACAATGGATTTCTCCTTCACACAGCAAGGAACCCTCTTAAATGTCCCCAGCGGCAGCCAAGACAGAAATCTGGCTCACACAGCACTGAGTACATCAAAAATGAGCCACTTTGGTGCCAGAGGTGGGAAATGTGTTATTATCTGGGATGCTTACACAGAAAGGAAGGTTTCTCCCAGGCTGCTTCCTAAATACATAGATATGTTTCATATATATATATATATATATATATATATATATACACGCCCCCATGTATTCATATATATACATATGTAGTCATATATACATATGTATTCATGCATATATATATATTCTGAAATGTATATGAGAAATGGATTACTCCTTCTCAAAGCTCATCACATTTCTAGAATCCTCCAGTGCTCAGTTTGCTCTACCTGGATTTTCAGTTTCCCTTCCTCTCCCTTCTCTCTACCACTCCCTTGCTTACTGGATAAGAATAGAGATCGTATTTCTCACAGGATTTAGCAAGAACATCTGCATGATACAAGGAGGCACCACCAGGATTTTACAACCTGTAATTCAGGTATATCAATCAGGACAGTGAAAATTGAAGGTTTGATTTGCAGGGGGAACAAAAGCAACCAAAAACCCCCAAAAGTTAAAAAAACCAAACCAAACAAAAACAAACAAGAAAAACCCAACCAAAGCAAAGAAACAAAAATATTAAAAAAAAAAAAAAACAAAAAAAAAAAAACAACCAAACACCCCAATGATAAGAAACCCAACCAAACTCATCAAAA